CCTTCATAACAAAACTAAAAACAATAAACATGAATATTACTTTTGCAAAACGACATAATCTATAGACCATAAAATTACCCGAATGGAAAAAAAGAAAGAAACTCCATAAATCAGTGACCATTAAATGTCTTCTACTCAAAATAATAATTTTTATCACTATCCAAAAAAATTTTGAATTTAAAAAAAATAAAAAATTTGAATAAAAAATATAGTATACATAGTACTCAAAAGGAATAAAAATTTATAAAAAAAAATTAAAGGATAAGGAATAAAAATTTATAAAAAAATTAAAGGATAATTAAATTATAAAATAACTAAATATTAGATAAAGTGTGGTTAGTAGTTATTGAAAAAATAATGATATTCTATTATTAATTTAAAAAAATTATTATTTGAATTATAAATTATAAAAAAAGAAATCAAAGAGCTTTTTATTAATAAAATAAAATTATTATATGGTTAGTAATTATTCAATAAAGAAAATAAAAAATATTATAATATGTTTTTTTAATTAGATAATTAAATGAAAAATATAAAAAATTTAATAAATGATACAATTTCACATCAAACTAACTAAATTTCATAATATCATGCCTCATAAGTTAATTTGGTTGAACTTTTACATATGTATATAGATATAGATATATAATGATGTGAATTTTAGATTATAATTGTTTTAAAATGACCAAAATGCTTTTAATGTCATTATAAAGTAAGTTTAATGAATAAAATTTTTAATTCTTTGGCTAATATTCAATATTGTAATGAAACAATTAAAAAACGACTTATTTATAAAATAGTATCCAATAAGAACATTTGTTTAAAAATATGTAAAAATTATTTTTCAGAAAAAACCATTTTTTCCCTTTTTTGCCCTTTTAATTCGAATTCTTTAAACTTTTAATCCCATTTTTAACATTATTTATATTATCTAACCAACGTTAATTTCCTTTTTCACTTTTAAAATTAGAAAAATAAAAGTCAAAGTGGAGCCTAACTTATTTACGAACTTTTCCTATAAGTATAAAAAAGTAAAAAAAAGAAAATAGTGCAATTTGGACGGACTCTACAAGTCGTCCATTTTGCTCCAAAGGCTAGTTAGGTACGAACAGCTATTTTATTTTTATTATTTTATTTATTTTTTTAGCAAAACACTTGATTTCTTGTGCACTCGATTTTCTAACCTCCACTTGTCCAAATGTTTAATAGTATTATTTTCTATTTTCAACTCGAGTATCAACACACGTGTAACGGAAAAAAAATTTTAATTTATAATAATTTTAAATTTTCTTTAATTTCCTTATAATCAATTAAATTTTCTAACCTTATCACCTATGTTTGAGCAGTAACCTACGGATTCTTGCACCATTATATTCAAGCACAAAATAAAAAAATAATAATAATTAATCTTATGAAAGTGGTCCATATAGAAAATTAGTACTTGATTAAATTTTATTAATTTTTTTTATCACTTTCGGGTTTATGACTTGAAAGTATGATTTTGAAATGAATTTTATAATTTCCTGCTGACATGACATGCGACTGATAAATGGAGCTCAACCTTACATTATGCCGCTATCTTTCTCTTCTCTACCTAAATATACCTTGAAAGTTAGAAATATTTTTCAACGGATTTATTTATTTAATATAATTTTTCAGTGGACTTAATTAAATTAAAATTTTAAAAATTTTCATATAATATATAATTTTAAAATTTTTTTATCAATTTAAGTCTATATTATACATATATGTTTTACATTTGAATGGAGTCAATTAACCTCACTAAATTGCTATAGTGTGCTCATACTTGGCCCTATAATTAAATTAAATCATATAAATTGTTTTTTTTTTTTTTTTAAAGATGAAATAATATCATTAGCTCAAGGAAAAATAATGCAATAAACGTGGAGAATATAATTCTAAATCTGAAAGCGAGCATGGCAGTATTTTTTATTTAAACTTATTAGGTACTTCTTAAATTATAATATAAACATAGTTATTAATTATTTTTCCTAAAAATCCTAATAATAATATATTAGGATTCACAATTGAACTAAAATTACAAATTTTATTATTTATCATCATAGTAACCATATTTAATATATCCAAATTTTATTAATTATCATCATATAACCCATATTTTAATATATATAATATATATATATATATATATAAAAATTGAAAAAACTATTAAAAATTTTTAATTGAGTAATTTATAATTAAGTTTAAAAGTAAAACGTTTTTTAATAGATTTTATTTTTTCCTCGTTTGGATTCAAATAGAAAAACTGAATAAAATTTAAAATAAAATTAATATTATTTTATTTTAATTAAAAAAATTAGAAAAATCCTTTAAGATTATAGAAGCTATATCATATTTACTATAAAACTATTTATTGTTTCAACTAATAAATTAAAATCTTTAAAAATATTATATAAATATACCTTATTTAATATATAATAAAATTTTTATTTTATCCAACATAAAAAATAATTACAACTAAATCAAGAATTAAATATTTTTATTTCCTCGCCTATAAAATTAAAAATCTTTAACAATATTTTATCAATCTATAAATTAGTGTAGGGCGTTTTTTTAGCAATCACAACTTCTTACCCACCCAATGTTCCCACTTTTTTGGATACATAACAACCCCAATGGATTTGAAATAATATTGTAAATAATATAATAAGAGGTAGCTCTCTCCCTATAATATATATATATATTATATATAACTTTTTTATTATTGAGAGGGTTCCGATGCACTGAAATAACCACTGTAGCCCTCACCTAGACTACGCAAATATATATATATATATATATATATAACTTTTTTTATTTATTGAGAGGTCCGATGCACTGAAATAACACTGTAGCCCTCACCTAGACTCACCAAATTAGTAAAAACACTTGTGGTCAAGAGGACTCGAACACTCCTCACGTAAGTAAGAAGACCAACCACACCATAGGATATTATTAGAAGTTGAAAAGGTAGAGGAAATTTTTCGGAATTCAATTTACAATCATATGTATGAAGTAGTAATTAGAAATATTATTAAAAGTTAAAAGGGTAGAGGTAAATTGAGTAAAAAGTTAGAACTTATGAAGTGAACATTTGTAGTGTCGGCTTACTGGGCTTTGACCAACCAATGATAAAAGGTTAGTCCTAAACAATTAGGATGCTAGCTTGCCATCCTTATAGTTATATGCCATTTGTGGACTTGCTCTGATACCATATTAAAAGTTGAAAGGGTAAAGATTGAAAGGGTAAAGATGAATTAGGTAAGAGATGAGCTGAAAATTTGTAATGTGGGTTATTTGGGCTTGGGCGAACCAATGCTAAAAATTTAATACTAATCAATTAATTAGCTTGTTATCCTTATATGTCATTTGTAAAATTAATATTTAGTCGATGTGAGATTCTTAATAAATATATACTTTTTTTTTTTTTTTATGGATTAACATAATCCTATTAATGCTTATAAATCACTATTTCTAAAATTTTGACTTGCGAATTTTAATTATGTGTATGTCTAGCTTACTTATGAGTAATGTCAACAAATATCAATAAAATCTTTTTATCAAGAAAAAATTAAATTTTATTAACCTTACAGTATTTAGGACAATTTTATTTTATCTAAGTACTAAACTAAGTTAATAGGTTCCTCACATGCACACAATTTAATTGGAATAACTTAAATAAAAAATCTAATCAAAACACCAATATTCATCAAAATAAAATAAAAAAAAATCAAAATTATTAACTAATATCCCATAAAATTATACATCCAAAACAACATGTGGAACAATTGTAGGGTTGTTCATGGGTCGATTTGATTCGGTTCGAATACAATAATCAAATCAAACCTCACATCAAAATCAAAATCAAACTAAATATAAAAAATTTCAAACTAAATCAAATCTTTGGTGGTGGTTTAGTTTGGTTTGATTTAGTCTGATGGTTTGGAATGTTTAAAAGAAGAGAAATTAAACTTTCTCATTTATCTAGTTAATAATAAAAAAATATTAATATTATACTAAATATTAAAAATTAATTAGTACAAAATATACCATAAATACATATGATTTTAAGTAGCTATTGAAAGTTTTTAAATTAATTTTTTATATGTTTATACTTAGCATGGTTTAAAAAAATTATATATTCAACAAGACGTCAATTAAGCAATTTATAAATGTAGAATTTATATTTTGATTTATTTTTATATTTTATTACTAAAAAAATTACAAAAAACTTATATTTTTTTTATATATCATTTTTTCTATTCATTAGGATACGTGATAGATTGAAATGATATTGCGGACTATGCAAAAGAGGTAACCCCGGGACTCATCGAATTAAGAAAACACTTGTGGTCTAGAAAATTCGAACTCGAGAGCTCCCACTTTTTATATAAGTGAGGATCAATCAGACCATACCTAATTGATTTTTTTCACATATCATTTGTACACACACATATTTATATTAATATAATTTTTTATGAATCTTTAATATTTGATTTTTTATAAAATAGTTATGTAATTTATCTAATTAATATGAAATTATTGTTGAATTGGTATTCAATATAAACTAATCTCATAATTTACTATTCAATATAAATTAATCAATGCAAAGAAATTCAAAAAAATTAAATTGAATTTTAAAAGTTCGAACATATATTATTAACTAATTTATATTTTGTCTTTCCATCAAAAGCAGAAAAATTAAAATGTTAGTAGATTAATTTTTTAAAATAAACATTTTTATGTATTAATTTAACTATAATTTCAAGACTAATTTATATTTTTTTCACTTAAAATTTTTTTATATAAAGCAATTTTCTATTTTCTCAATTAAGACTAATGTATATTTTTTTCACTTTTAAAATTCTTTTATATAAAGCAATTTCCTATTTTCTCAATCAATACACAGTTACACACGCAGTCAAAGGAGTTACTTTGAATGGAAGTAGAATTATAATTTAGCAACTTCATAATTTAAGACCACGCCGTTCTCCATTTCTCTGTCCACGGAAAGGAAGTAATAATTGCAAAAGTTCCCTTCAAATTTACATTAACACTATGCTCATAAATTAATTATAGACAGCAAAAATGAGATCAAAGAAACGGAAGCAAAACAGAAAGCAAGAGAAAGAGAAAAAGAGAGACAAAAACATTCTGTTTCAGATTTTGAACTGTTAAAATCATAAAGCACAGAAGGAGACTCACAGTATACACAGACCCGGTGAAGCAAAGAAGCCTTTTTTACTTACCTAGACTAGACAGCTCAATCTCTCAAAAAACCCCAGCTTTGATTCAATCCAAGTTATTCAACACTTTTGCCATATGGGTATTCCTTCTCTTTCTTCTCCAGATTAATTCTTCTCCAAAAAAGGTACCTTTTTGATTCTTCAGATTCTTCTTTATTCGTCTATTAAATATTTTTACATTTATTTATTTATTTATTTTTATTTTGGGTTTCTGGATTTGGTTTGTTTTGTTTCGATTTCAATTTTGATACTTGCAGCAGTATTTGGTTCCTGAGAAAATGTGGAGAATAGGGAAAGAATTTTGTTCAATTACCGAGTAGAAGGATTGGGATTACTCAAAATTGCCCATTAAAGCTTTATTTCTTTTGCTCCTTTTTACTGTTTCTTTCTAAAGTCTTTTCCCGTTGTGAGTTCTGTGTTTCTTTAGTTTGTGCAGTGGCGATGTTGATTTGTGTATATAAAGTCTTTTCCCGATTGTGAGTTCTGTCTGTTTCTTTTAGTTGTGCAAGTGGCGATGTTTGATTTTGTATATAAGATATAATATATATATATATATATATTGATATTAATCTTAATTTAAACTAAGGGTTGCTTTTAAGAGTTGTTCTGGGACGAAGGCTTTTTTGCGTTTTCCGCAGAACGTAGAGGGAAGATTTGATTCTAACTATAGTTTTACTGGATTTCCTATGAAAGTTGTTGAATTCCATCATACTATATATATTGATATTAAGTGCTAATTTAAACTAAGGGGTGCTTTAGAGTTGTTCTGGGACGAGGCTTTGCGTTTTCCGCAGAACGTAGAGGAAGATTTGATTCTAACTATAGTTTACTTGGATTTCCTATGAAAGTTGTTGAATTCCATCAGTACTAACCATGTCATTAGAGTATACTCATTGACTTACATGCAACTTTCTTGGTCAACTCCTCTTGAAAGCACAAGGATCCATATCTTATCATTGTATTGACTGAATCACACATTTTGTCCCTTAAATTCAGAATTTTCAACTGTCCACATTTGATGTTAGCCTGCTTGTTAGCAAGAAAAGAATGATTGCTTGGTGAAACTGAGTTAGAGAAACATGGAATAGCATCCAGGATTTATATGCAATACATTTGCAAACTAACCAGTACTTTGATAGGGAAATAGCCTAAAAATGAAATGATGGCAATGGAATTTTTTTTTTTTTAATTTAAAAATTTTGAGATGGGAAATGAGAGTATTTGGGTTGGGTATTTTAGTTTACATTGCTTGAATGAGATTGTTTATGCATAAATTTTGCAATTTTCTTTGATTGTCCAGATCCATGATGGGAAATTAGGTTTGTAAATTTGTTTGATGATGAGTTTGAAATACCTAATGCGAAAGGTGTAGTTTCAAGCGTGTTCTACAAAATTTGGCTAAAACATTTTTCTTTCCTCTTTCCCTACAAGTTAAAATCTTTACTTATACAATTGGAACTAGAAACTCAAATTCAAATCCATGGATTTAACAATCCATATGGAAGTAGCTAAAAAGGTTTTATATCGTTTTGTTTGTCACTTTGAAGCAAATAATGGCTCTAGAGAATGCTATCAGCAAACATGCATGTGCATGCAGCAACCACTAACATGTTTACTGCCATTTGTTTGTCTTGCAACTAGGTCTTTTTACCATTTATGTGTCTATATTATTTTGTTCCAATTTATCAATGGATATTTATAAGTCAAAGTGGGTCTTTTTTTTCCCTTCTTTTCACAGATGGACTTCACTCATATCTTCATTCGGGCTCATGTGTTTCCATGCTTTGGTCACTTGAGTTGATGTCATTGAAGATGGAGCTGGTTTTTGGAGCTTTTCTGCTAGCATGCTTGCATTCTTTTGTGTTGTCTGATTTGCAAGGTATAATGGTCCATATCTGATAGGTTTGTAGTAGTGACTGTTCTCACTTTTAATGTTGTTTCATGTTCACTTGACATATAATATTGACATTGCTAGGAAATTAATAGAGAAAATGAATCATAATCTGGTAAATCTCAATCTATTTCACTTTTTGAAATTATTTTGACATAATTACTGAGCCATTTGACTTGGTAATGCTTATTTTAGGTGAGAGATTTCCTTAGACACAAAAGTGCTAGACATGAAACATAAAAATAAATTGAAGATCAAGTTGCTATTCTCTTGATTCAATTCCTTTCTTTCTAGTTCATACACGTTTCGACGCTTGGGGCGAGGGAGTATTAAGATAAACCCTCCCAACAGTGGTGACTCTAAGTTTCAAACCCTGACCTTATAGGTAAAGTTCGCCTAAGGATGCAATTGGCTTGGTTCAATTGCACTGTTGTAATAATCAAGGTCTAGTGTTTTGAAGTATAGAGATAGAGGGGCTTTTGCACAATTGAGAAAAGAAGCTTTACCGAGGATAATTCATCATTTGCACACAATGATTATATAGATGAGAGTTCTTTCTTTCTTCTATTTTGAGTTAAACCTCCCACCTTTTTCATCCTTGTCTACTGTTTCTCCTTTTCTTTTCAATTCCCACGATGATATCCAACTTAAACCCACTCCTCTATATAGGAAAATCCAGTAATAAGTAAAATTTATTACTGATATTGTTCCATGTCACTTTTCTCTACCAAACACCGAAATTATTAGGAATATGAGTTTTATTCCCATTCCAACTCTTTGATTCCTTATAACCAATGAGACCTTGGGGTAGCTGGGGACAATATGATTGGCTAAAGTATTATACAGGATGATTGGCTAAACTACAAACAAGAAGATGATTGGTAACTGGAGAAAGAGCATTCTTGTTCTTATCTATGAGAATAAAGATTATGTGCAAAGAGGTTACCAATCTTTGAGGCATACCATATAGCTTGGAAAAGAGTGATTGAGCATAGTTTAAGCTATGATGTAATGAAACCTAAAACTCAGTTTGATTTGAGCCTGGGAGATTGATTATGGAGGCTCTGTTTCTCACAAGGGGGATCATGGAGAATATAAAGGGAAGAAATAGGTTTTAAATTTGTGGTTACAGCTATGGATATGGTTTTTCTATATCAAAGTGTTGTGGCTAAAGTTTAACAATTGCTATTGGTGCTAGGTTTTGCTATGTTCATTTTTTTTTATTTTTTTATTTTTTTATTTTTTATCTTTATGGAATAAGAATATTAAAAATTTTCTAGGTAACTAAAACATCGTACCTCGACAAGAGAAGAATGCCTTTTTGTCTCAAAACATGTAGTAAAACTACTTGCTACTTTTGTTACAGTTTTGGAAAAGTAGTGTTATGGGTCAGAATATTCCTTGTTAATAGCAATACATTTTAAAGTGCTCCAAGTGTTGTCAATAAAACAAGTCGTGAGAAGATTTGTGTTTCTGGTGAAGTATGTTAATTTTTTATGTTCTTTTCAATGGTTATATAGCTAAAGTTTAGATTGATAATTTAAAGATTTTTTTAAGTGTTGTTAATTTGGTGGGATAGTGGTAATATATAGATCTGTTATCTTTGGTCTTGGTTTGAATATTTCGTGCAAAGTTTACTCCTGTTTTTTTTTGGGTACCAAATGTCTCTCATGCCTGGGCATTGCACTTTAGCAACTACATGGTGGGTATTGGGCAGGACATTCTCAGGAAATGAACATCTTTGAAATGAGTATGTTAAAAAAGTTATCTGCAGAAGTATAAGCACAGTCTGGATATGAGGTGCTGAGACAGCTATATTTGGTGGAAGCTTAAGCACTCATCAAAGACAAGTAGAATTAAGATGGTATGGTCAGTATGGAACTAGAGATGAATTGGTATAAGGATGCATGTGGACTTGAGTGGTTAGGTGGAAAAGGGAAAGTTAGATTGATGTGGTAAAAAAATATGGCCTCAAATTCAGTTGAATGCATAAGGTTTTTATTTTTATACTGGACTCTTTACAAGTTTGCAATGTGTGTCATGGACATTGCTATGGCCTTAAATAAGGTTGAACAGAGGAAAAAGATCTGTGGATCCTAACTAAAATTGAATCGGTGCTTAGTTGAGTTGAATATGGTGGATAAATTAAACTATTTTCTGTCATACCAATAATATTGGTGTTTGGTTCTCTGTTTGACCATCTCTAATGTGTTTGGTCTATTCTTTCTCCTCCCGTTCTTCCTCTATTGATGTCAAGTTAATGATTAGATGGATCTGACGAACATATAATGAGAATAGAATTAATAAAATATATTAATCAATATGCTCTTTTTTTTTTCTTTTTAAATGTCTTATTGTTTTCTGCACAGCCCTTTCAAGAGATGAAGTTTACATTTCCAGTTCTTATTGAATAATTCTGGGATGGTTGCTTTGATTCGATGGTGAATATTCATCTTTGTGGTTTCAGGAGATGCTCTATTTGCATTGAAGACTTCGATTGATCCTCCAGCCAATCTATTGACAGATTGGAATCCAAATCAAGTTAACCCATGCACCTGGTCAAATGTCATCTGTGATCCTAATTATCACGTCACTTCTGTGTGAGTGTTGAATTAGTTTTACCTTTTCCGACTTTGCTGCATGATCTGATAACATGATTCGTCATTGATGCAGTATGTTGTATTTTAGTTGCATAACTAGTTATGTACATGGGATTTGCTTATACGTTCCACTTTCTTGCAGGACGTTGTCTGGCATGAACTGTTCTGGATCCTTGTCTCCTAAAATTGGGGTTCTGACAAATCTTACTACTCTGTATGTATACGGTTTCCTGTAACAATCAGCAAATAGTCTTAGTTTTTGCTCTTATATACTTGGCACATTTGATTTTACAAGACTAATATTAAAGATCTGGTAACTTTTTTCTGCAGTTGTACATACTCTGGTCATATTGCAACTTGAAGTTTATCTTAGTTTCATAATTTTTTTTTTTTTTTTTTGAAATATTTTCTTACAAATATTCTGTGGTCATTGCATGGGTGACCAGCTATTTTGTTCACAATTCATAGTGCTTTTAGTTAGTTGCCTTTGGTTGGGTCTCATAATTGGAAAAGCTATTCAAGCAAGTTGTTTCACAAGTACAATGCTAACTTATATTGGGTGCACTAATCACAGAACATTGAAAGGAAATGGCATAACTGGTGAGATACCGAAGGAGTTTGGGAATTTGTCAAAATTATCCAGTTTAGATTTGGGAAATAATCGTTTAAGTGGTGAAATACCATCTTCCCTTGGCAATCTTAAAAGGCTTCAATTTTTGTAAGTGACATAATCAACTTTTTACCTAAATCTTGAGCTTTATGGTATTCTCTGTACATTCTTCATTATAAGTTTGATTTTCTTATATACAAACAGGACTTTGAGTCAAAACAATCTCACTGGAGCTATCCCCGAATCACTTTCTGGTCTTCCAAATTTGATCAATATGTAAGGGATAAATTTACATAATTTCTATGATATTTAAATGATTCTACTTGTGGTCACTTGGTTTGCTTTCACATTGAATTATGGACAACTTGTCCCAGCATTTTTATTAGTGGCAGCTTTACAAGATCTTACATTTTCTATAGGATTGAATGCAAGAGAATATGTTTATGTTCTTCGGAAGCTTTAAAGTTTCTGATGGCATGGTTGAATTTTTTTTGCAGTCTTCTTGATTCAAATAATCTCAGCGGTCAAATTCCTGAGCATCTATTCCAAATTCAAACATACAAGTATGAACAGCAGTAAAGATATTAATTACTGCCTTTTCTTGTAGGCATGCACAGTGTGACCACCAGTGAATTGTTATTTTCTTTTATGTTCTTTTTGTGCTTATGTAATCTGTGTTTGTTTGTGAATATGGCATTGCTTACAAAATTTTGCTCTCACTTATTTCAGTTTCACTGGAAATCACTTGAATTGCGGTGCAACTTCTCAACGACCCTGTGAATCTAATAATAGTGATTCAGGTATTAGATTTTAGCAAATTTTGATTTCTCAGGGAGTAATTGAACTACAATGAGATACTTATGCTCATCCTTCTCTTTATTGACAGGTTCTTCAAATAAGCCAAAGATTGGTATTATAGTGGGAATCGTTGGAGGAATTGTAATTATTCTTCTTTTCGGAGGCTTGCTGTTTTTCATTTGCAAGGGTAGACACAAAGGTTACAAACGTGAAGTATATGTAGATGTTCCAGGTTTGAGCTACTTCCCAGTATATAGAAACTAATGGCTATCTGTTGATACTGTCATTTCATTGGAAAAGCATTCTAAGCCCCTTAATTTTTATTTTAACCTATTCAGCTCCTCAAATCTTAACTTTTAGACAAGTAAAGCCAATTTTGGTGCCCTGGTTAGGACCACCACCTCCTATACCTGCATGGTCTTTCTTTTTGTCGCAAACTAAAGTTCTTCCTATTCTTCACTCTCCATCTTAATTATCTCTCACAAACTAAGCTTAAGGGTACTTTTCCAAGCCATTATGATGTGCTGATAGTATGGCATCACTAATCACCTACATGTAATTGGATTCAGCTTTTTTAGGACATTAATGGATTGTATAAATTCCTAACCTAATTATTTTTGCTGGATTTTGTTTGAATTTCCTTATAATTAGCTTTCTCTAGACATGGCATGTAACCCTCTAGGAGAATTTAAAAAATATAAAACTGAACCACATGTTCACTGAACAGTAACCATATGATCAAATTAATACACACTTTTTGTTTGAAACCTTTCTTGTGCTCAGGTGAAGTTGACAGAAGAATAGCTTTTGGTCAATTGAAAAGGTTTGCATATCGGGAATTACAGTTGGCGACGGACAACTTCAACGAGAAAAACATACTTGGACAGGGAGGTTTTGGAAAAGTTTATAAAGGAGTGCTTCAAGATAACACAAAAGTAGCTGTTAAGCGTTTAACTGATTTTGAAAGTCCTGGAGGAGATGCAGCTTTCCAACGTGAGGTTTGTGATCTATTGTGTTTAATTGTGGATTCAGCCTTTTTGAGGTGACATTAATGGATTGTATAATTCCTAACCTAATAGTTTTTTGCTGTGATTTGTTTGAATTTCCTTATAATTAGCTTTCTCTAGACATTCTATTGTAACCCTTCTTTAGTGAGAAGTTTAAAAAAATAAAAACTGAACCACATGCTTCACGTGCAACTAGTTAATACTTATATTATCAAGATTATATAACACACTTTTTTTGTGTGTGGTGTGTTTGGGAAGTGTTACCTTTCTTGTGTCAGGTGTGAAGTTGACAAAGAAGAATAGCTTTGGTCCAATTGAAAAGGTTTGCATACCGGTGGAATTACAGTTGCGCGCACGCGACAACTTCAACGAAAAAACATACGACTCAGGGAGGTTTTTGGAAAAGTTTGATAAAGGAGTGCTTTCAAGATAACAGCAAAAAGTAGCTGTTTAATCCGTTAACTGATTTTGAAAGTCCTGGAGGAGATGCAGCTTTCCAACGTGAGTTGAGTGATGCATAAGCGTAGGCTGTTTCACAGGAATCAACTACGGACTGATAGGGTTTTTGCGACAACACCATCAGAACGGCCTTTTTAGCTTATGCCATTTATTTGCCGAAGTAAGTGTGGCATATCGTCTAAGCAAGGGTATTATCTCTGTTCGCCTTATATTTAAATGGATTATCTATACTAACATTCCTTTTCATTCAGTGGCATTTTCTGCATTTCGTGATGGCGATATTTTATTCTCATTTTCTCTTTGTTGTTTTATCATAGTTATTGCGCCAATTACATCATGATTGCTCAATGATCGATGTAAAAATGCTTGGTCATAAGGAGGCTGGAGATCTACACATTGATTCGTTTTTCGGTTTTTGCAATTTGGGTTTGAAACTGTATCATGTTCAAAAGGTGCTTTTCTATTTATATTTGTACGGTTTCTAGTAGGATTATAATTTTATCCTAATCACCTGTTATCCGCAGAAAGATTATTTTTTTAGTTCGAGGATTGTAGATGCATACCTATATATTATATTATGCCTTAGAGGGTAGAGATTTGCTGTATCGAGCAAACTAAGGAACAACTGATAGCATACCATTGACGATGCCTTTAGATTCTACTTTCCAAGTGATAAAAAAGAAATTACTGTCAGTTAGATTGCCTGATTATCGAGAAAGATTATTTTTTTTAGTTCGAGATGTAATGCATACCTAAGGTTATATATGCTTAGAGGGGTAGGTAGATTTTCTGTCTCGAGCAAACTAAGAACAACTGATTGCATACCATTTGACATGCCTGTTTAGGTCTATTCCAGAGTGGATAAAAGAATACTTCAGTTAGATTGCTGTTATTAAAATTCAGAATGATTCAAATTTGATAAAATACTTATCAAAGGTGCACAGGAGAGGCTTTACTAAATTGGCATTAGAAAGTCGTCTGCCATCACTATGCTTTGTACTACACTCCATAACTTCAAAAAGTGTCTGGCTGCTGAATAGATAATTTTGGAGTAGGCCATATATTCCCTATCAACTTAGTATGTCGTTCTAGATTTCTGTTATTACAGAGATTAGGCAAGGATAAATCCATATTATTAGGGACATGGTGGAGAACAAGAGGAAGTTGGATGTTCGAATGAGAAAAATTTATTTAGACTGTCAACCATGGAAGCTGTATGCTAAACCTAATAAATTAGATAGTTATTGAAAGATGGTGAATTTTAAACACTTATCGGTGCTGAACTTGTGAATTTACCATTCAGATGAATGTTAATATTTGATTTTTAATTATCATTTAACAACACTGTGTCATTTGGAAAGGCTTTGTCTGCAATTGACATGGTACACTATGTTTACTAAGAATTTTCTATTTGAATAGGAATTATAAACTATGTTCCGATCATGAAAATAGTTATAGCACTGATCTATATTGGCAAGGATTAGGAAACCCCAGTATACATAGTATTATCGAATTCTTAAGGAATATGATTCCTATGAACCTTGTGCACCTCTTTCACATGTAATTTAAAATAGGACATTGAATTCAATAATATATATATAACCTCCGTCCGAAGTGTTGTTTGAGATAAGTGCACAAGGATTCAGAAAATCATTAAATAACCTTAGTTTCAGCGAAAAATAGTTGTAATTGAATACATACTCTTGTATCAACTCTATAAATAATTAATGCTTATTTAGGGGAAATACCAAACATCAAGGGTAAAGGTTGAAACAAGTAATTAATGCTTCCTTGATTTTCTAAATTGACAAATGAAGTGGGATATTAAAAAAAAAAAAAAAAATCTTAAACAACACTTGTAGTGGGATAGAGGTTATACATCTTGTACAATTCTTGTCCGGTTAAAAAGATAACAGCCGTTGGTGTTAGGTTGACTTGTTTTAATCTTGGGTGCAGAACGTAAGCCTGAGGAGCCTGTTTTAGTTTGGGCAACAAGAAAAAGGGTGGCCTTAGGTGCAGCACGTGGGCAAGGCACGTGGGCTTGAATACCTTCAGATGAACATTTGCAATTCCTAAGATTATTTCAATCGGGATGTTGAGGGCTGCCAAGTCTATTGGCATGAAGACTTTTGAAAGCAGTTGTTTGGTGACTTTTGGCCTGGCGAAGTGGTGGATGTGAGAAAGACTAATGTGACACTCAAGTTCGTGGGACGATGCCAACATTGCTCCAGAGTATTTATCTAACTGGGAAATATCTGAGGAGAACAGATGTCTTATGGTCTAATGGTATTATGCTTCTAGAGGCTATGTAACGGTAGTCAACGAGCAATTGACTTTTTCGCCGCTTGGAAGGGGGACGATGTCCTATTGCTGACCAGTGAGATACTGAGCATGAGAATTCATTATTATTTTGTATGTATTTTCTCTGCTTCCTGCCTACACTTACAAAAGTTATTTCATACTAGTTCTAAAATTTGCATTCTCTCTGCAAGAAAGCTGGGAGAGGGAAAAAAAGACTGGATGCCTTGTAGACCGCAACCTTAATAAAAATTAACAAATTATTCAGGAGGTGGAGATTGATGATCCAGGTTGCGCTTTACTCTGTACCAAGCGTCCCGGAGGATTCTTCCAGCAATGTCAGAGGTTCGGTTACGGATCGTTAGAAGGAGAGGTCTGGCTTGAGAGATGGGAAGAGTGGCAGGCATATTGAGGTTTCGCGCAGGCAAGAATATGAAAGCTTTGCAAAGAAGATTTTCGACTGGGGAGAAGATTCATTATATAACCAGGGGATGCTATCGAGCTTATCTGGCGGGAAAGATGATGTTTGCAGAATTGATCTACAGCATTTTTGGAAGCACGTAGTTACTTTTTTTGGGTTCAGCTTTGATATTTCCTTTCGCCTTTTTATGTAAGCGATCATGTATTTTAAAAACAGAAGAAAAAAGAAAAATGCTCCATGGAATCTCATACAATTTTGACTGCTCAGAAGTTGATATTTTTTCTCCATTGTTTTTTCTTTTTCATGTTAAATTTGGTGTAGTTATCAGTTTGTATAATGAAACATCTTCTTGTTGTTATTTGTCATATTTTTCTTCTTACATACAAAAAAAAGAAGTAGAAAGAACGATTTAATTTGTCCTCAACCAATGCTTAAATAATTGGTAAGAGCAGCCGTTATATCGACTGCAATTTTCAGTAGCTTTTGCATAGAGAACTAATTAAATAAAAAAAAAAAAAAAAAAAAAAAATAACTATCTCTCGAATCAATCAATTAAATAGAGTATTACAGTTAATTAACACAAAACTTGTTATTTTTTAACTTAATAATCAAAGGAATTATGCTCCTAAAGGAACGGCTAACACTAATAATGTGCTCAATCTCATCAATGGAATTCTCATGAATAATTAAAGGAGTAATTTTTATTTTACCACATAAGAATAATGAAATTTCAAATAAGAATTATACTAAAAAAGAAAATTTTGTTTCTGTAATAACCAAAATAGTTTACCTCCCTCAAAAACAACTGACACAGTGAATTAATTTTTCTAAAAACTGGAAGAATACAATCTCTCTGATATGGTTAATTTGGAACATAGTGTGTGCCCATAACAAAGCTAATGCCAAATTCAAACAGAACAAACCAATCGCGATCCCTGATACCGAAACACACCCATAGCAATGTGCGGATAAAGTGGCCAAAGAACTCACTCTCAAGAAATACGCAGTGTGCACGCATCAACACCAATCCGTCAATTGGGCGTGACAGGAGCATCCATTTACTAATAACCCTGCCACGTTTGTGGGTTTAACCCTTGACAACACCAACCACAGGAATAACATTGGGGTCGTGACGTGAGAAGGAAGATTAAAAAATGGCTAAAAGGAATTGAGAATACTTTGAATGAGTAAAGGATCTATGCAAAGTAATTCCTAAGGCATAGGTGATTCTCATTGCTTAGCCATGACCAAACTCTCTAAGAAGGAGAAGTGATTTGTGTAAATTAAGGGATTGGATCTCTCTTGATATACGCGTAACAAGTGCCGGTTGCGTTTAAACTCTCAAAAGTTATATGAAAACTAATTTGCCCCAGTAAGATATATTTATCTAGAGAACGAACCGGTAGCATTCCAAATCATTGACTTGCTAGAATTAAAATATAAATAACTTAAAAAGTGTCTTTTCTTGGTAAAAAGTTTTTTCAAGTGGGATATTTAGCTCTATTTTTTCTCCATTCATTATTAAATCATTAAAATACTAAAATAATTTAATTTTTGTCCATCATAATAACATCCGAACTCAAATGTCTTGCATATTACTAAAATTCAGAAAGTGTATTACAATAATTATCCACTAAATATGTAAGACTGTCACCAGTATAAACAGAAGAAATACCAGAACTACCGCATTCATTAAAGTTAGAGACAATTAGACCAAACCCTTAGGAATTAAACATGTGTGTGTGTGTGGTGACGGTGAAAGAGAGTAACCGATTTGTGTGGTTGAGACTCGAATCTATTCCTAGTATATATAATGTATTTCGAGAATCAAACAATATACCGACAATGGATTGAGCAGTGTATTGTAAGCTGGGTTAGCTATTGGTTTTGTATTAACTTTGTATGGCTTCCCCAATGAGGATACAAAAGAAAAAATGGAGAAGAGATGAGCTTACAATAACAGACAACTGAAGCATTAAAATATTTTAAAGCAAAGTTTTTTAGTTTTTATCTTTTTCATTTGTTAATTCAGTGTACATCTGAAAAAAGAATATAGTGATATAATCATATAGGCAGTTGGGTTGAAGTTTCGACTCCATCTTTACCAACATTGGTCTAGTTTGTATATGGCCATTTCGAAATTAGATATAAAAAAGTGAAGATATGTTCACATCTAATTTTGACGACTCAATTAAAGAGTGGGTCACAATCCATTGAGATTTC